GCAGCCAAAGGAAAAACTGGGGAATAGCTTTATGAAAACTGGTCACCAAATGTGGCCTTCTGAATTAGTATTGGTTAGCGGGATCTTAGGGAGAAGGCAATGGCAACCCACTCCAGTGTTCTTGCCTGGAGAATCCCAGGGACGGCGGAGCCTGGTGGGCTGCCATCTATGGGGTCGCACAGAGTCGGACACGACTGAAGCGACTTAGCAGCAGCAGCAGGATCTTAAGGCACCCTTTCCCAGTTTCATCCTCCATTGTCCAAATTTGGAACATGTTAGAATTTGCCAAAGTTGTATTATAATGTTAAATATGACCAATAAATTGGGATAGATCTTTGTGGAAACTTTGCACAGGAAATAATATAGAAGATATAGGCTATAAGCTTTCTATTTTGTCTTATGTTGAACTTATTCTAAATGGTTCCACTTAGATTTTTAATAGGGCATGGCAGCCCAATCCAGTATTCTTGCCTGGATAATCCCATGGACAGAGGAGCCTAGTGGGCTACAGTCCTTAGGGTCGCAAGGAGTCAGACATGACTGAAGTGAATGAGCACACAGGTTTTAAATAAGTCACTTTTTGTCATTATAGTATTGTTTTGCCAAAGAATTCGTCAGGGTATGCTGCTGGACCTAGATAAAAAGGTCTTTTAAATGATAGTACAAACAAAAAGGTTATTTAGTATGTAGATGGAGAAACCACTTGCTTAATTACAGCCTTTAATTATTATATAAACAAATAATCAGTTATATTCTCTGATCTTGCTGGGAAATGAGTTTAAGCTAAAACAGTAAAGATTGAGGCTTGACACATAAGAGTTCCCTGAAAAAAGAATAGTTATCTGGGAAAGGAGTTTCTTAGGAACATGTAAGATGTCCTTTTCTAGATGTCATTAAAAGCTAGCTTGGTTTTTTTGGTTGTTGTTGTTAGTTTGGAGAGAGTAGCCCCTCAAGGATCTCTTGTTAGGATTTTATGACTTTTTTAGCTTTTGTACTTGGAAAGAATATTTGAATAGGTTACCTTTGCTTTCTTTTCTAATTTGGAATAGAACCCCTGTGTTTAATACATTGCTGTACTCGTGATCAGAGTACATATTCTTAATGATGCACCTGCTTATACACCTGCTAACCATTAACCCTTGAACTGCAAGGAGATCAAATCAGCCAATCCTAGAAATCAGTCCTGAATATTCATTGGAAGGACGGATGCTGAAGCTGAAACTCCAATACTTTGGCCACCTATTGCAAAGAACTGACTCATTGGAAAATACCCTGATGATGGGAAAGATGGAAGGCGGGAGGAGAAGGGGACGACAGAGGATGAGATGGTTGGGTGGCATCACTGACTCGATGGGCATGAGTTTGAATAAACTCTGGGAGTTGGTGATGGACAGGGAAGCCTGGCATGCTGCGGTCCATGGGGTCGCAAAGAGTCGGACACAACTGAGTGACTGAACTGAACTGAACCATTTTCTAACTCTATCTGATGATGTATCTACACTCTACTAAGAAGCAGGTTCTCCATTTGATTCAGATACTTAAATACAGAAATTTAGTCTTATCATCTTTCATTATTATGACTAGTTAGGCCCAGATCAAGATGGATGACTTTGAGGAAAAAATCAACTGTTTCCAATTGCTCTTTTACTTCCTGCATCTGGTGAAAAGCATCACCTGCATTTCTAAAGATATTTTTCAAGTGCTTTAGATGTGTTTTCTGCAAGGCACCCCAGCCAAATGCAAAATTTGGACGAAGCTCCATTTGATAAGTCCCAGTTGAAAGGCTCCTGATTTCCTGATAAAATATTTTGGTAGCATAACTAGACGAAGTTAGGCCTTGTTAATGCAGTTTCAAGTAAACTGTTTCTTCAAGAGTCATGTATGATTATAGGTGTCTTTTTAAGACTGTTAGTCTGCATTGTTTCCAGGGGAGAGAGGTGAAGTTTGAGGGTGCATGGGAAATATTTGTTTAACTTTGGACTCTGGTTAGCCTGCGTCTTCTCTCTGGTATTTGATTTCCCTTAAAAGTGAACTAAACTTCATGAATACTTAGAAGTCCAATCAAAGATCATTTGAATACTGAAAATTACAACAAATAAATGATCTTTAGTCAGAAAACATCCTGGCTATTTATTAAACTTTGTTCAGGTTTTCCTGTCTCTAGGAACATTGTCCTTGATAAACCCCTCCCATATAAGTGGAAAATCAGGTGATTTATTATTGTAGCAGGCTTTATCTCACTGAGGTGAAACATGGGTTACATCATCTCTTCTGGGTTACATCATCTCTTCTGCCAGTTCCTAAATGTGTATGTTGGGCTCTGGTAATTATTAGTTCCTAGACCATTGTTTCAAAGACCAAATATTTTTAAATGTTTTAAAGTCAGGCTAAAGATCTGACATGGACAATGGACTGGTTCAAAATTGGGACAGGAGTACGTCAAGGCTGTATGTTGTCACCCTGCTTACTTAACTTCTATGCAGGATACATCATGGGAAATGCTGGACTGGATGAATGACAAGCTGAAATCAAGATTGCTGGGAGAAATATCAACAACCTCAGATATGAAGATGATACCCCTCGAATGGCAGAAAGTGAAGAGGAACTAAAGAGCCTCTTGATGAGAGTGAAAGAGGAAAGTGAAAAGGCTGGCTTGAAACTCAACATTCAAAAAACTAAGCATCTGGTCCCATCACTTCATGGCAAGCAGAAGGGGAAAAAGTGGAAACAGTGACAGGTTTTATTTTCTTGGGCTCTAAAATCACTGTGGACGGTGACTATGGCCATGAAATTAAAAGACACTTGCTTCTTAGAAGGAAAGCTATGACAAAACCTAGATGGCATATTAAAAAGCAGAGATATCACTTTGCTGACAAAAGTCTGTATAGTCAAAGCTATAACCATTAGTAATGCTCAGATATGAGAGTTGAACCATAAAGAAGACTGAGCACCCCAAAATTGATGCTTTAGAATTGTGGTTTTGGAGAAGACTCTTGAGAGTCCTTTGGTCAGTAACAAGATCAAACCAGTCAATCCTAAAGGAAATCAACCTGAACATCCATTGGAAGGACTGATTGTGTAGCTGAAGCTCTAATACTTTGGCTACCTGATGCGTAGAGCAACTCATTGGAAAAGCCCCTGATACTAGGAAGGATTGAAGACAGGAAGAGAAGGGCGTGGCAAAGAATGAGATGGTTGGATGGCATCACTGACTCAATGGACATGAGTTTGAGCAAACTCTGGGAGACAGTGGAGGACAGAGGAGCCTGGCATGCTGCAGTCTGTGGGGTTACAAAGAGTCTGACATGACTTGGTGACTGAACAAAAACAATAAAGTTCTCATAACACAATGAAGAATAAGAGGCTTTCAAATCTGAGACCTGTCCTTAATTTAGCCAAGTGAAGTACCTAATTTGTCATACATCTGCTTTTATTTCTAAAAGGAGATAACCCTGCCTGTAGCTCAAACAGAGGGAGCATCTTTCTTGTTCTTTAAATTCAACTAAATGAAAACCTGGCAGTTTCTAAGCTCACATAATGAGACTATACCCCTTTCCTATTTAAATACATGTTTGAGGAAAAGTCCCTTGTAGCTAAGGAAAGCTGCCTTTCCTCCCTTTGAAAAACTCTCATCCTTCTTTCCCTCTGTACTTGTTTCTCCTGGGGGATATTCAGTGCCATCAATATGGACATAGCACAGCTGCTCACCAACAGCAAAGGCACTTTACAAAATCAAATCCTGAGGGTTCTTCTAGCTGATGACAGAGTGAATCCCTCTCTTTGAAGGGAAAGATCCCTGCCACTTTGGACAGGGTTGGGAAATGCCATTTATTGAGAAAGGAAAATATAAAGAAAAGAACATTGACCCGGTGGCTATGCAATCAACAAACAGAAGGATAATAGTCATGTCATTTAACATGCCTGAGGCCTCAATTCTTTACCTAAAAAACAAGGTAGCTGGTTTATATGGTCTCTAAAAATTCATACTGCTGTAAAATTATATGGTTCCTATTCTTGAGAACCTTGAATATGGTCAGTCAGAATCATACTTTCCCCTTGTCTCTGAAGTCAAAGTGGACCTAGAATTTGTCCAGTGTACATGAAACTTCTGTCACCACACTTCAAAGTGTCACCAGACTTTTCTTTAATATCTACCTAACTTCGCGTAGATTGATCCTAACAGTGATTAAAAGGAATGTGTCTGAGGGAATCTTGGGAGAATTGGCTTGCAGCAAGTGGAAAGGCCTCAGAAATGTTTAAGGCTGTTTTCAAGATCTGGTTATCTTTCAGTTATCTGGTTGATGTTTCCCAAGGAACTTATTCACAGCTTGTCATAATTTCTATTATAACTACTAAATCTAAGTGCGCAATGTCCAGGCAAACAGAGAGTCAAGCCAAATCCTCTTTCCATTGTTTTTATTACAGGGTGCTATGGAGACTGCATGGACTTTGGAGTCAGCCAGAACAGGGAGTTCACAATCTGACTCTGCCTTTTTCTGATTTTGTGGTACATGTTTACCTCCCTGTGTCCCAGAGTCTTCATCTATAAAACAGCAATATTTAAGTTGTTTGGTTGCTCAGTCATGTTCAACTCTGCAACCCCATGGACTGTAGCCCACCAGGCTCCTCTGTCCATCGAATTTCCCAGGCAAAAATGGAGTGGGTTGCCATTTCCTACTCTAGGGGATCTTCCCAACCCACGGATTGAACCCACATATCCTGCATTGACAAGCTGGTTCTTTACCACTGAGCCACCAGGGAAACCCAATACTTAAGTACTTACTTTAAAAATTATTTTGTATCTCTCTTTAGCATTTATGAAATATCTCATAGAGGTAGTTTCATTTAGGGGATTTTGTGGATAAAATATCATTTAGGTTTTGAGGCCTAAGTCAGGCTTGCTGGGTAGAGGGCCTAGCCTTTGGAGATAGGTCATATCAGATCCAGAGCTTTGGATAGTTTTGGGGATCTTGTCTAAAATATCCTTTTATGTTTTCCAGGAATCTGAATTTTTGTGTTTGGAATTTGATGAGCTCAAGGTCAATCAAGTCCTGAAGAAGCTCTCAGAGGTAGAAGAAAGTATCAGCACACTGATGCAACCAGCCTAGCTGAAGATGGAGTTGTTGAAGCAGAGGTGTTCATGATCCCTCCCCAGAGGCCTGCTTTTTTTAAAAAAGAACAACCTTATTCCCCCAGTAGTATTAAATCCTCAAGTTGAAATCTTGCCCGCCTCTGCTTGCTGTGATTTCTCTGTCTCCCTTTCAGTTACTCTTACAGTTGGTCTACTGCAGAAGTCCTTATCCTGCAGCACACAGAGGCACTCATAAGAGCATTTTTAAAAAGGCCTCAAGGGACCCTGTCCTCAAAGACTTGAATCCCCCCTCAGACTGGGGTGGGATCAACTTTAGAAACCTTTGCTATGGTGGGTTATTCCTGGGTAGGATTATAGGAATTTATACATAATCAATCATGTACAAATTTTTAAAAAGGGAGAAAACATTTTACTCATGCAAATACAGGCTGACCAAATGTGGCCTGAACTGAGGCCTGAAGGAAACTGCCTTCCCTAGAAGAGGTTTACTGACCTTAGTAAGACATGAGATGCTTCTGGAACTGATTCAGGCATTTGTATTAGTTCTCCCTAAATCTGAGGGTGGGCGGAGGCGGGGGTCTTGTTTGATCTGAGCTACTGGGAAACTTGGACTTTTCTGGAACCTAGAACTAAATTGCCTTATCATTCAGGGACTCCCTTCACTTAGCTCCAGTCAGGATTGTGGGAAGGGAAAATGTCTACTGAAGTGATGGGAGGTCTTTTACCTTAAAAATGTTGAGTCATCACATAAAACCTCATGAAGAAAATTTCTTTGAGAAAACTAGGTCCTGGTAGAGAAGTTATACCAAACACCCAGAACATTCTAAGAGGATAAATTGTTAACCAGAACATTGAGGCTGTGGTCCTTGTTGAACAGCTTTTATCATCTGATGATAGCATTCAGAAACTTCAGTTGTCTTTGGGATGTAATGTGTCCCCAAAATGTAGTACTCTTGGTCTGTGGCTACAACATATGTCAGTTATAATGAATTTATTCCAGGGAAGTAATAATACTTCTTCTGTTAAGCATTTTCTCCTAAATCAATTTAAAGACATTTTAAGAGCTTTTCCAAAACCCAGGCAGAAAATTTGGTTTCTTTGCTGATAAAGACCGTCCCAGCAGTTAGCAAACAATGACCAGAAGGTTTTGAATGTACCCTCTGTGGACCCTTCAGAAAACATCTTCAAACAGTATGGTAAACAGAATCAGAAAAGCCGTGTGGTTTGGTGAAAGAGCTATTAAAACTTGCTTTCTGTTCTCAGGGCTACTGTCTTTTGATCCAGAAGAATTTAGATAATGTCTCCTGCTGTAAAATGAAGGAAAAGAATATCTCATCAGATAATGGAATTCCAGATATCACTGGAAGGGAGAACTGTACCTACCATGTTAGTCTTGGATCACATTTCCAATAAGTCTGTGGAAGCCTGAAGGAACAGTCCATGGGTCCGCAGGGAGAGGACATCATTGTCGTGGTTTGAGGCTCTATTTAGGTCATCCTGTGAAAGTAATAGCCACAGAAGTGGACATAGGCTTGTTCATTATATCACCAAACCCTAAGTCTTTGGAAAAACTGTTAATGTATACTGAATTTCTCAGAATAATAATAAAAGAAACTGGTTGCTGAAGGTGGGCCCCACATTTAACACTAAACACTTTTGAGTGCAAGTGGTTTTAGACAGGGTGTGTTTATGTGTGTTTTATGTTTACTGCTGATATTTTACTTTCTGATTGCCAAAGGTGTGTATGTTTATTATAGTGTTGTGAAAATATAGTACACAGTAAGAAGAGTTAAATGATCCGTCAACCTAATAAATAGAGATAACGAAAAGAAGGCTGGGACTAGTAAGAGAGTTGATTTTTCCCTGAATAAATTCCTGGAAGTGGGGCACATAGGTTGTTTTCCAGGTTTTGTTTTTTTGTTTTCACTGAGGTATGATTTATGTACCATGTGCAATTTTTAAGATTTTGCTAAACATTACAAATTCCTTTTCAGTTAATATCAGGTTAAAATCAGTTTGTATTACCTCTAAGAATATATGAGACTTAATCATTTCCTTTCTTGCCTATTGGATATTATCTGGATTTTGTGTTTTCTGGTGGGTGAGTGAGTGAAAGTCACTCAGTTGTGTCCGACTCTGTAACACCATGGATTGTAGCCCACCAGGCTCCTCTGTCATGGAATTTTCCAGGCAAGAATGCTGGAGTGGTTTGCCATTTCTTTCTCCAGGGGATCTTCCCAACCCAGGGATCAAACCCAGGTCTCCTGCGTTGCAGGCAGATTCTTTACCATCTGAGCCACCAGAGAAACTTCTGTGTTTTCTGGTACTGACCTATCTTTGTAAATTTTTGTAAAGGGAACTTTCTTATACTAGGACATCTTCCTGGGGATAGTGCTAGCATGGAGAAAGGACCAGAGAAGGAGAAAGCTGTCAGGTCCTAGCAGATCCCGCCAGGTTGCCTACTTCTTTAATCCTAGGTTAAAACCTCCTTAGAGTTCAGGAAGTGTGGGGCAAAATAAAAACAACCCTCAGCCTGAGATGGGCCTTGCAGAAATTGTCCATTTGTAAATCATAGGCACTGTAACTTGAGTCTGTTTAGAAACAGTACAGAAAGGCCAAACATTGCACTCAAAAGAAGCTTCAGACTTCAGTAGTTTCTTGTTGGTAAGGAGCAAAGGCTTTGGCTTTGTTCTCAGGACTGCCTTATCTTGGAAGCTCTGGTTGCTATTGGCTTCATCGTTGGAGGCTTAAATTCAACCATTATAGCCTCCTCTTTCCTTTCTAGAAACTGTCTTCCCCCAGTGTTATTCTAATGATGATTCATAATAAATTACAGCATTTTAAAGTTTAGTTTAGCAGATTCTTTACCAGCTGAGCCACAAGGGAAGCCCACAAATACTGGAGTGGGTAGCCTATCCCTTCTCCAGCAGATCGTCCTGACCCAGGAATCAAACCAGGGTCTCCTGCATTGCAGGTGGATTCTTTACCAACTGAGCTATCAGGGAAGCCCCTAGTTTAATTTAGTCTTTCCCAAATGCAAGCAGCTGGTGAAAAGCAAAGGATGACACTAAGGATATGAAATCTTAAGTAGCTGACATTGTGTCAAGCTAGTAGTTCTTGAAATCCTTTTCTTAGACCTGAGTGAAAATTTGGAAAACAGAATATAATAGCTATTAAAGGAAAATAAACATTAAATAGATGTTAGAAAATATTGTTTTCTGAAATACACAATAAATATCTAAACCAGTGAAGGGACCTTGTAAAGAAGGAAGGCTTCTAGAGTCAGCTCAGAGATGGTTGGATATTTTCCTGTAAGAACAAGATGCTATAAAAGATAGGCGTTGGTGGGACAGTTGCCACTTCATAATTCTTAACTGTCCAACTTCCCAGTCAAGGTTTTCAAGTATCTTAGATGGTGATTTAGCTAGCAGAAGGGAAAACTAGATGCAAAGTGTGCAGCTTTTTATCTCAAAATTTGAGAAATAGCAATTTATATATAAGTGCAGTCAGTTCTGCCTTATCTGGGATAGCTATAATCATCTCTCACCACATCACAACTGCACACTGCACTCACTAGCCTTTGTTGCGAAAGAAACTGCCTCAGCCTGCTTCCTGTCAGACAGATGGTGTAATAACTTACAAATTTAGTACATATATTATCAGAATAAAATACTAAATCTATACAGGAGAAGATAGTAAAATATGAGTATTTATATGTTTTACTCACCAAGGACTGTAAGTAGACCTTTTCTCTCTTACCTACTCTTGGCTAGTTTTCTGTTTCCTGCTGGTGTTAGTGTTTCAAGTTCTGTTGATTTACAGTATGCAGGCAGGGGAGAAATGGAAAAGGAGAAAATGCAGATTTAATTGTACAAGTGGAATAAGAGATTAAACTACTAGTTTAAAAGGTATTTAGGCTGAATAATGAAAATAGGTAAAATCCTTATGCTCCTATTATACTGCAAAAAAAAGTAGCTCATGCTCTGTAAAAATTATTAAAGATTATTTAATTTTTAAATCAGCATAGAATTATATAGAACCAAAATTCAATCTTCCTTGTCTTTTGCTTAAAAAAAAAACTCTCCTCTGAAGTAGTTACTGTTAACAGTCTAGAATGTGTATTGCCTTCCAGACACTTTCTATGCCTGTTGGAGTAAGGGATATAAACATACATACACACATATACTGTCTCTTTATATATGTTGGTATAGTTATATGTTCAGATTCCTTCAAAGCATCATTTTAGATGCATTTTATAGGTTCTTAACTTTTGGATAACACATGGTGTCTTAAAGAACAATGAGAGCTATGGTTTCTCTCTCCCAGAAAAAAGCCATACATATGTTCACTGAATTTTTCTTTCAGTCTCAGTTTTATGAATTCCCAGAAGGCAATCTGCTGCCACCTCTTGAGTAAATGAAAGTCACTCAGTGTTCAACTCTGCGACCCCGTGGACTGTAGCCTGCCAGGCACCTCTGTCCATGGAATTCTCCAGGCAAGAATACTTGAGTGGGTTGCCATTCTCTTCTCCAGGAGACCTTCCTGACTCAGGGATTGAACCTGGCTCTCTTGCCTTGCGAGCAGATTCTTTACTGTCTGAGTCACTAGGGAAGGGGCTCCTCTACCAACTCCCTGAGGCTTGTGGAGCCAGGGACAACCAAGGGAACAGCAACAAGTTATAGTGGATTTGGGAAGGATTATTATTTATAGCAGAAGCCTAATGAATCAGTATGCTCAGGGTACCCTTAGTTGAATTTTCTGGTCAACAGAGTTTATCACAAAATCTTTTGTCATCACAAAACTTTCAATCAAAATAAAAAAACTATATAACAAGTCTGAGTTCACTCACCTGTGCGATAGCCAGGGACCCCTCAATATTCCACCCGTATCACTTGGTGCCTGTGGAACTCTCACACCTGCAGTCACAGCACCTGTGGCATTTTAGTACACCTCCTTGTCTGCACCTGGATCTCCCCCACCTCCACCCCAGAGGCTGTGAACTCCTTAAGGGAGGGACCTTATCTCATCATCTTTGTATCCTTCCCCCTCCCCTGCCTGCAGAATTCTCCACAATTGTGCATGAGATGAAGGAGCATCAGAGGTATGATGACTGAGCTGAGTATTAATCAAAT